TAATCTTTCATAGGTACAAATTGAACTGAACATTTTATTTTCGTTTCTGTCTCTCATTTTCCTTCAGCACAGTCCAAAAATCAAAAGCTATTTATAATTTACAATAGATAAACACAAAATAATTAAAAATCTTTATTTTTTGGGTTCTGAGAATTCTTCTTTTTTTCGTTTATTTTTTCTTTTCAATGGGGACTTTGTAATCGTTCAAATTTACGTTTCGGATTTTTCGTTTTATATCGACCCAGTATGATCCAAAAAGTCCGAAAATGCCATTTTTAATGAATGGATGGAATTTAATTCCAAGATTCAATTCCATCCATTCTAACGAATGGATGGGATTGAATCTTTCTTTTCAAATGTAGGTATTGTTAAGCCCCGTCGATCGCCCGTAATTAAAATTTAATTCATCGATCAGTTTTTTTAATATTCGAATTTTTTCGAAAATCGGTTGTCCCCCGATAACTGAAAAAATATTCTGAATTGATTGAATGGCGGCTCAAAAAATTCGTTTGGATGTCCTTTTGACCGAGTTTGAAGATGAAGGCGATAGCAATAATCGTTATTTTGATTTATTTGAAATTTTTCAAAAAATTTGAATTTTTGAAAATCAGAATTCTGGGGATATTTTTGAATATCATGCTTTAATGCCATTAAGTGAAAGTTAAAAGATGATTACGATAGCTATATTGGTTGATTTGATTTTTATGATGATTGTTGAAAATTTCGAATTTTTCATGAATTTTCCTGAAAGTGAGCTTTCTGATGGTTTCTTCAAATGTGATGTTTCAAATTCATTCAAGTATGTGTAAATAAAATTTTTCCATTAACATTTTATCGAAGGGCTGAGGGGAGAGATGGAACCGTAAAAAACACAATCGGTTGCATAGAAGAAAGGGATAATAAGAATAATGATGATGATAACATTCAACTAAGTTGAAAATCTCCCAAAATTACTTGAAAATAAATCGTATTCAATTTAACAAAATGAACTAAACAATGAATTATTCATGACAGAAGGAAATGACCTGTAAAATAACCATTCGGAAGCATATTGCTAATTTCTCAGTAAAAATAACTATACTATATGCAATACGAGAGCGATTTCCCACTTGTCTTTCCATTGCATCACATTTGCTCTCCGTGTAAGCCCATCCCTGTGAAAAAATATACCCCAAAGATATCAGAACCTCATCGATCTGTCTCAGAACCCCCTCAGCCCACCCATTCTCAACAACAAAATGAACCCGAGCTCATCTGGAAGACCCCACCGACTGTCCCACCACACCCGCTGCATACAAATTACCCCCCAGTGTCCACGCCACGTCCCAAAAACAAGACAAAGATAATCATTGAAAAACCGGTTGTCCCTCAGTTTCCCCAGAACTGTCGAAATCCCCCGTTTTAATTTCCCCCCGAGAACGAGAGAATTCACGAGAATAAAGCCAAAAGAGAACATCAAAAGCGCAGAGATTCCCCCGGGGCTGAATGTTTAAAAGGTTTTACGATTTCATTTTCATTTTTTCCTCCTTCATATTCATCTCAATATATCTCTCCTATGTATTTATCTCTCTTTCTCAATTTTGCAGACTCCTCTCGCCGAGCGTTAGCGCACTTCAACGGAGCTCTGTGTCCGGCTTGTGCCTGAGACCGTAAAAGGCGAGCAGAAGGCCTTGGGGCGCCCACGCCCTCTCCCTCCCCCCCCCCCCCCCCCGCCGCCCTCCGCCTCCTTATCTCCTCTTTGCCTCCTGCCATTTTTCTCTCTCCCGGACTTTTCTCTTTTTGATTCGAAAATCCCACACACTGGCAGATCGCCGCGTGGATACACTACATTGTTTCAATGATCGAGAATCACTTTTCAGAATCTGTGCGGAATGAAATCGTAATATCAATGAGGATCGCTGAGTTATGATGTTGAAAAGGGAGGCCGGAGGGAGAAGATTGGATGATTGATTGAATAATGAGCGGAGATCATTGAGATTGGTTTCAGATCTAATCCTGGTGGTGCGAGGGAACAGGTGCGGCATGATAAACAATTTTTTTTTATTTATTTGAGGATTTTTTATTTTGATTTTTCGTGGGACCATTTCGCGTCACGATTGAGAGGACCGAATGTTTGAGGATTAAATCAGAAAATGGAGAAAATGGTGGAGAACATTTGAGAATTTTTTTATTCAACATTCGTTTGATAAATTTTTTTTAAGATGAAAAAAATTATTGTGGGCCGTTTTGCTTTACGATTGTGAAGACCGAATGTTTGAGGATTAAATCAGAAAATGGAGAAAATGGTGGAGAACATTTGAGAATTTTTTTATTCAAGATTCGTTTGATAAATTTTTTTTAAGATGAAAAAAATTATTGTGGGCCATTTTGCTTTACGATTGTGAAGATCGAATGTTTGAGGATTAAATCAGAAAATGGAGAAAATGGTGGAGAAAATTTGAGAATTTTTTTATTCAACATTCGTTTGATAAATTTTTTTTAAGATGAAGAAAATTATTGTGGGCCATTTGCTCTACGATTGTGAAGATCGAATGTTTGAGGATTAAATGAGAAAATGGAGAAAATGGTGGAGAAAATTTGAGAATTTTTTTATTCAACATTCGTTTGATAAATTTTTTTTAAGATGAAGAAAATTATTGTGGGCCATTTTGCTTTACGATTGTGAAGACCGAATGTTTGAGGATTAAACAGAAAATGGAGAAAATGGTGGAGAAAATTTGAGAATTTTTTTATTCAACATTCGTTTGATAAATTTTTTTTAAGATGAAAAAAATTATTGTGGGTCGTTTTGCTTTACGATTGTGAAGACCGAATGTTTGAGGATTAAACAGAAAATGGAGAAAATGGTGGAGAAAATTTGAGAATTTTTTTATTCAACATTCGTTTGATAAATTTTTTTTAAGATGAAAAAAATTATTTTTGGGTGAACAGTGCATTTTTTATGAATTATCTAAGGGAATATGTCTTAATGTTTAAAAATTGAGGGTTCTTCTAGTTGAAAAAAGAACTTTCTGATTGCTTTAGATGTTTCAGGTACTTGCGATGTAGAATCACTTCTCAGAATCTGGCGAAATGAAATCGTAATATCAATGAAGATCGCCGCGTTATAATGTTGAAAAGGGAGGCCGGAGGGAGAAGATTGAATGATTGATTGAATAATGATCGGAGATCACTGAGATTGGTTTGAGATCTAATCCTGGTGTTACTATAGAACAGATGCGGCATGATAAAGAATTTTTTTTAAATTTATTTGAGGATTTTTCATTTTGATTTTTCGTCGGGCCATTTCGCCTCACGATGAGAAGACTGAATGTTTGGCGATTAAATCGCGTGGAGAAAATTTGAGAATTTTTTATTCAATATTCGTTTGATCAACTTTTATTGGAATGAGAATGATTTTTTCTAAATTCTCAAATGAAATACGATTATTATTTAATGAATATGATTTTTTCAAGATGAAAAAAATTATTTTAGGGTCAAAAGTGGATTTTTTATGAATTATTCGAGGGAAAAGGTCTTAATTTTCAAAAATAGCGGTTTCCAGATTAAAAATCTGATTTCTTCAGACGTTTCAGTTACCCTCGAGTGAGAATCACTCCTCAGAATCTGTGCGGAATGAAATCGTAATATCAATGAGGTATCCGTTATAATGTTGAGTAGGGGAGGCCTCAGGGAAAAGATTGGATGATGGATTGAATAATGATCGGAGATCATTGGATTGGCTTCAGATCTAATCCCGGTGTTACAAGAGAACAGGTGCGGCATGATAAAGGATTTTTTTTATTATTTACTGGAGGCTTTTTTATTTCGATTTTATGTTGCACCATTTTGCCCCACGATTGAGAAGACTGAGAATTGTGGATAATGTCATTGAAATGAAATCAACCAATTTGTTAATAACAAAAAATCCAAACTTCATCCAATTCTCCCGTTGTTAAAAATTGAAAGATTTTCGACTTGGCTTTTTACACTTTCAAAATTAGAATAACGAATTTAAATAATAAACGCAAAAGTATCACTAAAAAACCTATTCAAAAATTACAAATTTCATGTAAATTTCTATTAGGGGAGGCTGGGGTAAAACGGACACTTTTGACTTTTTCTAAAATATTAATAAGGGGTTGAAATGTTGATAAAATTTAATATTTTTTTTTCTCAATACAAAGAACAATTCTTTCCCTTTGTGACTAGCCTAAACTGAGCTCAATTGATCAATTTGTTTCTGAGTTATGAATAATAATAATAAAGTTTAAAGTGTCCGTTTTACCCCACCCACCCCTATAAAAATTTCTGAATTTCTTACATGACTTTTTTACTCAACTTCCGACTTTTTCAGATTGAAAAATTCCAATTTTACACTCTTGCATGTCAAAAAACAAGCAAATTGCATCAAACTAACATTGTAAATAACCCACATCACGGACTCCAGCACTTTAACCAAATAATAAAAAAAATATATAAAATTGCAAAAATATTTGGTAACGTCAGGCAAAAAAAGTAGCATTAAAAAACCTCCCCTCCGGGGTTGAACGCAGCTCCCCCCCTCCCCCCCCCTCATTCTCTCTCATCTGGGTCCGCAGGAACATCTCAAAGTGCCCCGAGTGCGTCGCGGCACCGGCGAAACCCGAGAAAACGAGAACAACTCGATCTCGAGCGAGACAGCCCGCGAGAGAAGAATTTTCCATCTGTGTATTCTCCCCACAGCCACACTGTTATAACAACTCTCAAAATACATAAATAAGCGTGCCTGTGACACTGACACAAGCGCGTTTACTCGCGGTGGGGCCTCACGTGTGAGTCGGTGGTGGGGAGAAAGAGACTGGTGGGACTGGCCGGCCGGAGGGTGGGGGGTGGATGCACTTGTGTTGGTGAACGTCCATGACGGACGTTGTGCCCGCCGAAGGAAGGGGTAACGGGTTCCCTGGTATGACTGCAGGGGCCACTGTAGCGGGTAACGAGCGTCGTTGCCGCGGATCGGCCGACAGTCTCGATTGTTTCACCGTACCTGCGACACCTGCGTGTGTAATTCGCGTTCTGTGTTTTTTTGGCAATTGTCCATTCCACGGGAGTTGATTACGACGAGCGGGAAGCACAAAGGTACGTCAGCTTGATAGATTGAGGGAGTGACGGATGTAACCGGCGGAAACTGTCAGATTTTCCCGGTTTTTTTTGTTTGTTTTTTTTTTCGCCGCCTGTTTTTGGGACCCAGTCCCCCACACGTGTTTGACCGATTGTGCGGCGATTGTGCGCGGGCCCACCTGCGTTTTGATGGGACATGGGGTACAGTTTTGTGCTGTGCAAGCGGGAGCGAGCGACCCATAACGGAACACGGAGTTTCCTCCAACGGAATCGCAAAAAGGAGAAATATCGTGGGCTCGGGAGGGCCGATGGGGTCTTGACCTGTTTATTGGGATTGGGGTGATGATGGGTCGCTTTGGATTTGTGGGGTAACGGGATGTATTGGGATTTGTGAGGTAATTGAGAGAGGGG